CATGTAAAAATGCAAGTAGAAAAATAGGAGCCACCTTTGCTGAGAAGGTAACAGTGTTCCGTGCGCCTTTGGCATTTAGTCATGCCACCCACATGACCACGAAGACATCTTCAAACAGCGTTGGCTCTTCAGCTTTGAAACAGAGATGGGCACTGGCCTCTAGAGTCAGGAACGACTAGCACATATGTGCAAGGGGAACATTTACCTTTTACGAAGTAATTATAAATACTTCTGTAATTATGATGTAATTACATAGACAAAAGAGTGGGGATTGGTTAGCATGATCGCAGATGTTATTTTGATTTGCTTGACTTCTCTCATATTGGCCCCACTTCAAATGCCCCATGGCTGACAAAAAAAAAAGCATTCTGACTGAAGTACACTACTGACCATAACATGGTTAAGGGCTCCTACAAGTCCCTTTAAAAAAAATTTTTTTTTGAATAGACACAAACAAACAAGACACAACAAACACCATAAAAACATATTCCATTACAAATTATAAAAAGTGTGTCAATTGGTTACAAAGAACTTTCGTGCATCCCTCCCACAGTCACCACCTATAATCCATATCAAATTATATATTTTACATAAAATATATTTATATATATTACTATCATCATANGGAAGGAAGGAAGGAAGGAAGGAAGGAAGGAAGGAAGGACACCCTGAACTTTGGAAGATTGAATCAGATATGTTTTCATCAGAATCTGTAAGGAGAACGCCTTGTACTTTTCAATATGCAACGCTCATAAATCAGTCTGAAACAAATGCCACAATTTCAGCTTCAGCCAATGAAGTCCAGTAAGTTATAGTGAAAACAACCTCAAGAATATCAATATGCCAGCAAAACTCTTCTTCAATCACTATTCTCTGGTTATCAAATATATATTGTTTAAAGATATGTCTGAGAATACAAAAGAAAGGGAAGATTAATCTCAGAGAGAGTTCCAATAACTTTTACAGGAGAAAATTGAAGCAGTCCTTGAAATATTTCCCCACATGACCCAAGAGTTAAATCTGCCTTTCTGTTTTTGACTCTGAAAAGACAGGATCTGACCAGTTCAAAAATACTCCCTTTGGGTTGACATGTCTCCTCCTAGAGAAACATAAATTCCTGTAGCCTAAAAAATATTTGAGGAGTAGGACTCATTCACATTGAAAAGTGACAGAAAGAACAAAGCTTGGAATAGCACAGCTGCCAAGAAAATTCAACAGTTTTCCGATCTTTACTGGAGCCGCAACAAATCTTTCTTACAGGCATAGAGCAGCCTATGAGGAATACAATAATATTAAAAAAGAAAGACAGAAGGAAAAATAAAATTTAAGTACTGTGTCAATAACTTTTATTGACTATTTTGTGAGTGAAATTTGCACATGATAAAGCAATTTCTCCCCTATTTTTAGAGATATTTGTCAGCCTCAGCAACTTTTAAGATTTGTGGCTGCCAACTCCCAGAACTCCCCAGCCAGTATGTCGGGAATTGAATTCCACGCATTCTAAAATTGCTGATGTTGAGAAACATCAATTTACCAGATCATGTAAATGGAAATTATTGGAATGCCCAGGAAACTTAGTTAAAAGAGGAACAATCAGCTTTTGATGAGTGTCCCCATAAAACTGACAATGGAGAAGAATGTGGACCATGGTTTGTATCATATCCATGCTACTGGGACAATATCACACTGGAAAAGAGATTACGTTTTCCTTCCCAAACTTGCAGAGGACATTAGAACAAGCTAGATTTAACACTGTCCTACATTTGGGGAACACAATTCAATTTAGTTATGAAACTGGTGGGAACTAAATTTCTGTTTATTTATAAATACATCCCATGGAAAAACAGCAGTTTCTATTTCACTTTCTATGTGTAAAATCTTTCGTTTTAAGGCTAACTTTGCTTGATCAGACAATAATGGTAAATATTACTGAATAAAGAGTTGCTTTGAGGTTACCTCAGCGTGTCCGGCCATCTGTTGTTCAGATCACAATATTTCTAACATCCTAAAACAATGTTATGGCTTATGATTTGGAGGTTGTTTTGTTTTTCCTGTTCCTCCTGAGCTATCTATAATTCTGTTTCCCCCTTTATGGTACTCTGTACCAGTGGTGGGATTCAAAAATGTTTATTACCAGTTCTGTGGGCATGGCTTGGTGGGAGTGTCAGGGGAAGGATATTGTAAAATCTCCAGTCCCTCCCCACTCTAAGGGAAGGTTACTGCAAAATCCCCATTTCCTCCCAATCAGCTGGGACTCAGGAGGCAGAAAATAGATGGGGGTGGAACCAGTCAGAAGTGGTATTTACTGGTTCTCTGAACTACTCAAAATGTCCGCTACCGGTTCTCCAGAACTGGCCCTAACCTGCTGAATACCACCTCTGGCATGTACTGGTCCTCCCCAGCAAACTTCAGTCTGGAATAAGACAGCAACAAAACCGTGACCCGACAAATGCACGCCCGACAAGAGCGTGCCGTCAAAACCACGGTGATAAAACAGCGATGTCAACAGCGTGCCCACAAAGGGCGCTGACAGAAGCGCGATTAGGGTTAAGGTAAGGGTTAGGGTAAGGGTTAGGGTAAGGGTTAGGGTTAGGGTTAGGGTTAGGGTTAGGGTCAGAGTTAGGGTCAGAGTTAGGGTTAGGGTTAGGGTTAGGGTTAGGTTTAGGGTTAGGTTTAGAGTGCGCTTCTGTCGGCGCGCTATTGGCGGCACGCTTCTGCACTAATTTCTCAGCGCCATTTCGAACTTGCAGTTTTATCGCTGCGGTTTCATTGGCGCGCTTTTGTCGAGCACGCATTTGTCGGTGAACCCATCCACAGGGAGGATTTTTTATAAAACCAAAATAAGATGGCAGTCAAAAGGGTGAAATCTAAACAATCATATTCATTTTTATTTTATCTTCCTGTAGACATCTCTGTGATAGCAAGTGTCTGGTTTCCATTAAATATTATTCAGCTACCTACCTTGAATGCTTAACAAAGTGGTTCTTTCCCTGCGTATTTGTATTTTCTCTTTTATTATGTAAAGCTGAATATTTTGTCACAAAAGGAAACAACTGCATTTTCTATCTAGACATGAATTGACACTGGGCCTTAAGAGAAAATCCCAAGGACTTCCATGGAACATGCTGTCTGAACAGGCTTAGATTTTAGCCTTAGAAATCAACATCTCTCTCATGTTCAGTAAAAGAAAATATATCCATTCATGATTCATTTTCATCCATCCAAATATTCCTTCAGATACCATTCCTGTTCATACAAAAGTAACATTCTCTTCTGCACTTAATGTCTGATTCCCTGACCTGCATTTTCAAGACTGGTTTTTGCTCTTCAGAAAGAAGATCTAAGCCACGTTCTAAATGTTTCATTTAATCTTGAGCTAGATATATCAGTAATGCAGTGGTGTTAAATGATTTCCTCCTTACATTAAGATGCTGAATAACTTCAAAGCCTGGAGGTGAGCTTTAA